AGTGCTCAACCGAGGAGTTGCACACTTGCAAGTGCACGCCTACTGAGTTGCACACTTGCAAGTATTTAACTTACAGTTGCACACTTCGAAGTGTTCAGCAGTTGAACACTTAGTTTATCAGTGTACGTAAGGCTCGACGTAAGGAAATGATTGGAGATGACTGGAGGTGACTGTAAGTGACTGTAAGTGACTGGGAGGTGACTGGAAGTGTGACTGGAGGTAACTGGAGGTAACTGGAGGTGACTGGAGTTGACTACGGACGTGACTGGAGAGGCTTCAGGATGAATGTGACTGGATGACTGTAAGTGACTGGAGGTGACTGTAAGTGACCGGAGGTGACTGTAAGTGTGACTGGATGTGACTACGGTCGTGACTGGAAGAGACCATAGAGATGACTACAGAGGCTTCAGTATGAATGTGACTGGATGACTGCAAGTGACTGAAGATGATTGGAGGTGACTGGAGGTGTGACTGGCGGTGATTGTAAAGATTGGAGAGACTGTAGACAGACTGAAGGAGACTGGAAATATTGGAAATGATTCGGAATGATTATAATTTGATTATTTTGCCAAATGTACAATGACTGGACCAAGAGTGAGGTAGCCCTCGCCCTCGACCCAAAGCCCGTCCCGTGGCCATCGTGTGCCTTCTTAACTTTCATTTATTGCGACGATAAATTTCAAATCTAAAAGCATTTGTGACATATTCTCGACCATAAAATCATCAAGTGCAGTACAAATAAGATGGGTAGTATCACAATAGCTCAATTTTACTCAAAAATAAGCACACCTCGGTTTTGGGTCCGGCTGGCGGGAGGGGCGATATCGTGTGAATCGCCCCCAGTTTTTCAACGCGAATTGCGTACCCTTTAGATGACTTTTTATGGCTGTATAGAGAGGGGGGAGCAAGCGACCTCCCCTTTGTCTCTCGCACCCTCAAAACCGCGCTTCTCATGTCAGCAAAACTAGGGAAAGTATTACAACTCGTGTCACAAATATTTATGTCGTTTAAAATAATAATGATAATACAAACTGGAACTTGCAATGACTTTGTTTGATGCCTGCTTTTGTCTGACCGGCGGCCACAGGACCAGACGGCAGCCCCTAACCACCACACCCAAACCAGGCGGCGCGTTCTCTCACGGGGTCTGTTTGGTGCTTTACTGTAGTTCCCACGGGCAGGTGCGTGGCCGGCGCGGCCGCCGCTGCAAGTGTTCAAAGTTATGGCAACGCCTGGGTCATTGATTCCGCTGTAGCGTAAGCTGTGTAAGAGGGAGGGAGACCGCTACTGCGTGCGAGTCGGCGCGTGAGTGCGAGGGAGACTGGGGCTGCCTTTACCCGGCGGACAGGCGGGTAACCCGACTACCCGAGTTCGCCCAGGGAAGAAACCGGGACGACGGTTGGACCCGGGTTACCTGGGTATTCGGAGGGAGCCTCGGTCAAAACTTGAAAGTGTGCAACTGACAGTTGTGCACTTGTAAGTTGTAAGCGTGCAAATCTCATGTCGAACACACTTCCTTTTATGCTTACTGTGAGGGAAGTGTTCAACAGAGGAGTTGCCCACTTGAGTGTACAACTGCCAAATTGAACACTTGCAAGGGTACTAGTTTTTTGTCTAGTCGGGCACCCCTCGCGTCGACCCTGTTCCCAGCCGGCCGGGTAGCCCGGGTGCCCGCGGGTTGGAGCCCCAAGACAGACAGCTGCGCGGGGCGGCACCCCTTCTGCTCTGGGAGTGAGTCACACGTGTGTGGGCGCCTCGCGCGTCCCAGACTGAGGCGACCGCAAGCGCTGAGCCGCTGAGCGTTGCGGAGGAACGGCAAAAGACCACCAAGTGCGCCGAACTTTTCCGACGAAAATAAAGCAACGTGTCTGATAGCCTTTTCTTTGCCCGGTAAGGGTACACTGTAAATCCGGGGTGTCCAGCAGGTAGGCAACAAAGTCGACAAAGTCGCCTAGCCCCCAAAATTAGGCGACTTATGTCGACTATCTGCTGGACACCTCTTGGTCTTCCGGGTAAATGCATTGTATTAGTCCATATTGGCATTCCACCCATTGTGCCCATATGCAATAACCCGGAAGACCAGAAGGTGTCCAGGAGATAGTCGACATAAGTCGCCTAGTTTTAAGGGGCCATAGACCTACCTGCTGAACACCCCTGTTTCACAGTGAAGGAGCTACTTTCCTTTTCTTGTACCATATACTACTTTAAGGAAAATGAAAAGTTGTGGCAACCAATGTATGGCGTGTTCAGGGATAACTACAAAATATGGTTGAGACAAACGATCCGGCCGCCGGTTATGAAAACCGCGTTTTTGGTTGATACACCTATTTGCACCTATTTGCACCCCCCCCCCCTTCAGTTCACGCCGTATGGAAACGTCCCTTTACGGCCCCTACGGCCCCTTGCTTGCCGAGCGCATCCCTGCTCCGCATAGCGGCGAGAGAGAGCCGGCGAGGCGAGGCAGCGCGCTCAGCAGGACCCGCAGCAGCAGGGTCCCGCGGGTCTAGGAGCGGCCGGCACCGCGGCTCTGCTGCGGCCCGCAAGGCCGAGCCGTCCGGCGCGCGCTTTCCCAACACTCGGCTCGTATGAATCAAATGATCGGTGTGAGGACGACGATTACCTCCAACGTGTGCGACTGTTTGAATCCCCCGCGCGGCGTGGCGGGGCGTGGCGGGGCGTGGCGGAGAGCGGCGGGGAGCGCGGTGCGGTGTGGCGCCATGCGGGCCCAAGTGGGTGTGGCGTGCGGGTCGGCGCGGATAACAACAGAAGGCGCACGGGGAAAAAAAAGAAAGAAAGCAAAGAAATAGCAAGAGTTTGTTTTCAAGCCTGCGTAGCTCTTTTGTGTCTAACAGTA